TTAAACTTCAAGCACTCTTACCAGTTTTATACACTATTAACTTGCATAGGAATCCTTTTAAAATATTTAACATAGTTAACAAATACATTTACCTATTCATTAATGTAAGTTTTTTTCTCTTTTGTATTAAGAGTTAGAGCTATTGGTACAGAATCTTTTCCTACTGTCTGGTTATTGCTTTATTTTTTGATGTAATACTTGACAAAATTCTACTCATTTTTAGGACCTACTGTAGACACAATTATGATAGAAATAAATTTGACTTAAGATTTATGTGCCTCATTCCTAGTACTCAGGAGGCTAAAGCAGAAGGATCATGAGTTTAAAGCCAGGCTGGGATTCATAGTGAGACCGAACTTTATGATTACTTCATACTTGGACCTCATTTTATTAGAGACAAGTATATGATCTAGTTCTACTGAAAAACAGATTTTGACCTTTATCAGTGGCAAGTAGTTGGACTTCAATAAATTAACAAAGGCATAGGTCCAAATAAATGAGACTACTAAACATGTCACAGAACTCAGAAATGGCCATAAAAATAATATCCTTACTAATACTCTGTATATAATCTCTTTTGTTTCTTACTACATATTCATGTGTATTCTCAGATTTTGCCAAGAATCATCATGTATGTTAATAAATAGTAGATTTTGTTCCACTTTATAGTCCATGAAGCATTAAAAGTAAGAAGTGTAAACCACACAGGCACAATACATGTTATATGACTTTTAATCCTTATTCTGTCACTCAAACTATCTTGCTTCAAATATGAAGGACTTTTAATATTGTAGCTTTAATAAAAGAACTGTTTTAGTCCCATCTAATAGAAAAAATGATATTTTTATACTAGAAGCATCTAAAGTATACATACATACTTAGGAACTCTTATAATTTTTGCTATCAGACTGCTGAAAGTTGTCATTACTCTTTAAAACACTGTGTTTAACGTCAACCAGTCCAGTATCCAATATTTGTGTTTCTAAGATAGCCTCATGTGAAAAGGTTGACAAATTAGTTGCATAAAGTAATTGCAAATCAAACTATGTTACTAGTCCAATTATATCTTAAAATTTGTACCAAAACATAATAAAACTAAATATTTTAGCTGATCCTGTTTCAAGATTACATTGACCCCCTAACATATTTTCCAAGAATAGGGAGAAAAATCTGACATCAGTTCTTAAACTTTTATGTTTTATATATTAGAACAGTTAGGATGTTTATTGAATTTTGTATTTTGGGGAATTATTAGAGAAATGTTGCTTAAGAAATTAATATGTTTGTTCAAAAAATTGGATACTTTGACTTTTTTAAGATTAAATAGCTTAAATTTAAATATGGGTTATGATATCTTTATAGATAATATAGGCAATTATCCTTGAAACTATTTGTGTTTTGCTGTTTAGCTTATTAATGTAAAATTATAATCAGTTTCAATAAAGTGCTGGGGACTGGATATGGTGGCATATGTCTGTAATCCCAGCTACACAGCTGCACAGTAGGTAGAAATGGGAGGACTATAGTTTGAGGCCAGCCCTGGGGAAAAGAGACCCTATGTGAAAATAAAGTAGAGCAAAAAGGGCTAGGGGTGTGGTTCAAGTAGTAGAGCACTTGCCTAGCAAGTTCAAGGCCCTGAGTTCAAAACCCAATACCACCCCAAAAAAGAAAAATAAGTGCTGGTCCAAAATACCTAAACAGAGGCTCATTGGAAAGCAGGTACTAGATTAAATGTAAACCAAACAAAAAGGTAGAAAAGTTTTTAATATGTACTACCCCCTTTGGATTTCATATACAAGCACCTGAAGATACTTTTGAGATCATTACAAATAAATATATTTTTGCCACATCTAGTAGTATTTCATTTGACATAATTTATTTAGCACTCTGTACTAAAGATTGAAGAAAAAGTAAAAACTATATTTACTATATGCGTTAGTAAATGTAGACAAAAACATTTTTATTAAGTGTATATTTATTGTACACATACTAAGTGCCAGGTGATAATGGTGCTCAGTGGTGCAGATATAAATATAAAGAGTATCATGGTACCTGCACTCATGGACGTCTCAATCTATTTCACAAGACAGATGAACTAAAAACATTATAGTATATTATAAAATCCCCATGCTGTAATAAAAATGAACACTAAGCAATATGGAAATGCGGAGGAGAACACAGTATTAAGGGAATCTAGGAAGGCTCCCCATGCAGGATACCTGAATATTGATAGAAGTTAGTAAGGTAAAAAAGATAAATGTTCAAATAGATAAACTTGCAAAACTTACAGAGTGAGAGAGTGTATGCAAGTCAAGAAATCACAAGTAAACAAAGTAAAAGGTATTGGTAAAGGATGAAGTGGGGCAAGTCAGACCCACCTAAGAATGTTGTTAATGACAAGGAGAGCCATTAAAGGGCTTTTAACAAGGAAGTAACATGATAAGACGTATGAATTAAAAAGATCACTCTGGAAAGTACATTATGTGCATGTTGTAAATATCACAATGAAGCCCCTTTGTACAATTTATAGTTATTAATAAAAGATTGGAAAAAGAAACTATCAAGTAAAAATAAAAAGATTACTCTGGTTGCTATTGGAAAGCCAAATTTTTTTCAGTTGCACTTGGAAACCTTTTCAGGATAAGTATACATGTGAATATTTAAGTAAAAATAAAGTCAAAAATTATTCATATTTGCACAACTTGGTTCTTTGAGATATTTGATAGAGCCATAAATTAGGGTCTTTATATAACAGTGTTAATAGTCTGTAGTGGAATGTTACATTTTTAGTATAACCCTGAGCTGATCATGTACAAGGATTTGAAAACTAATCAGAAATTACTGTCTGACCTCCCCTTTGCCTGATTGTTTACTTAGTGTTGATGCTATTTATGCTAAATCGATTGACATTACTAGATACTACTGAGTGATGGCATTTGATATATTCTAGATTGCCTGGTCCTTCCAGTGCTGACATTATAATGTAATACAAAAGAAAACTCAAAAGGGATGTAAGATTATGAGAGGTGTTGAGATATAAAACAAGTTAGAAAGATAGAAAAGTATCCTTTCTCTTTATTGCCTCTTACACCATACCCTAGCTCTGTCTTATTGCTCGCATAAATAAAAGATTTTTATACTGAGAACGATATGTAAAGGACCCCACGTCCTATATAGCCACCCTAAACATTTAAAACTTTTATTAGAATCATATAATAACAAATTCCTTTCTACTGTGAACATTTTCCCCCTTTGTCTTAAGAGTAGGGACCAGACTCCAAACTTAGACAATATTATTTTTTTCTGAGTTGTAAAAAGTACACTTTATTAGAATAGAGAAAGCACTTACAGAAGTGAAAGCCTCAGAAAGAGAGGTTGAGAACAATAATCAGATTTTATAGAAGTTGAAGGGACTTGGAGCTTCAAGTCCCTCCACAAGACCAGCTTACAGAGAGTGACTGAAATGAAAATTCTGGAAGAATTACAGCATAGATAATGTTACTTTTATTACAGAGAAAGCTCCTAAGTAGATAGTAGATTAATGAGAAAACATAAGTTGATTTATAGTTGAAACTATAAAACTAGCACCATAATTTTGCTTGAAATACCTAAGTTAAAAAGGAATATGCCTATTTTGCATTTTGGCGATATTATATGATAGCCTTAACTTACAACATCTATAAACCTAGCAAGGCTGAACTTTTTACAGCTACCAAACCTATTTAACTTAATGCGAGTCAGTAGAAAACAAGCTTTAAAACACTTTGATTTCCATTAATATAAATCCAAACTCTCATCAAGCTGATTTTTATTATTTTAAGTACAGACAACTAGCTTTTCCACTTGACTTTAAGACAAATATTTTCCTGCAAAAAAGGGTTATTTCTTTGACTTTATATCTATGTCAGACATTGCATATTCTAGACATTTCATTAATAAAGCAATATTGCATATATATTGAAATCAAATTTATGGTATCAACTTAATATTACTTTATCCTGAGATAAAGTATTTGGGAAACCTGTACTCCAACCATATATTTTATTTTAAATTCTAAATTATTTCATTCAGATTGGAAGAGTTGTAGAACTATTCATTGTTTTTAGATTATTGGGATAGTAAGAAGGAGCTGGAAAAGATGAGAACACATTCACAGTTCATATTGCTAAAGTTAGTTTTCTCAAACTCAACTAGTCTCTATCATTCTAAAGGTGGTTGGCCAAATTGAAAGGTTTAAAAGCTGCTCTTTTATGATAAAGAATTGACAACAGAAGCAGTAAATACAGTCATCCTTTCATATCCATGGGGAATTGGTACCAAAATCCACAAGATGCCCAAGTCCTTTATACAATATGGTGTGGTATTTGCATATAACCTACACACATCCTCCTGTGTACTTTGAACTTTCTCTGGGTTACTTATATTAACTAATATAATGTAAATGCTGTAAATAACTTTTACATTGCATTGTTTAGGGAGTAATGATCAAAGACAGTGTATATTCAATGCAAGTACAATTATTTTTCCAAATATTTTTCTATCTGCAGTTGATTGAGTCCACAGATAGCAAGAACCAGCTGTACCTCTTTTAGGTTAATTTCATGCTTGCACTCTATCACAGTTTTTACCTACTTAGGCTAGTTTACAGATGCCAGGATGAGTAGACAGTCTATAATTTCCACCAATCAAGTAAAAGAAGGGGAGATAACTCTGAGCTTCTCTCCCAGTTAACAGGTTGTTTGCTGTAGTTAAAATTAATGCAGATTTTCAGCAACAAATATTAGCATTTTCATTTATTATAAGTAACTGGCTTGAAATTTGGGAAGTGAACAATTGAATGCAACATTTGAGTGTTTAACCAGTTACTTAGTGCAAGAGACAATCATTTATGTTTTTTCTCTATATATTATGACAGATCAGTTTGTTTCTCTCTTCATTTTAACATATTTTAAGCATGTGTATGGTTACTTTTACTTGAAAATATATTTTATTCTTTGCAGTGTTTGAGCAACACACCTCCACTTACTGAGTATTTCCTCAATGATAAGTATCAAGAAGAACTGAATTTTGACAATCCCTTAGGAATGAGAGGTGAAATCGCTAAATCGTATGCTGAACTGATCAAGCAAATGTGGTCTGGAAAGTTTAGCTACGTCACCCCAAGAGCATTTAAGGTTAGTGTGGTAAATGAATTCTCAATGAGGGAACTATCCTCTTTGGACTCGTTCCAAACATTGGTCCACAGGTGGGAAGAACAAAAAGTTGTAGCTATTACAATAATTTGTGGTCTGTCCTCCAAAGGAACACAGTATGTAAATAGATGCATACTATATCTGATGTATTAAATTTCAAGACGGGGCAAGGTGGGTGATTAATTTTTTTAAATGTGTAAAAGATTTGGCAGAAGGGGAAAGAAAGAATGAGAAAAAGAATGAGAGACACTAGTGTGGTACAAGAATGGCTATAGAGAAATAGCAATGACTTGTGTATAAATAACATTTTCTTAATCATTCGTCAGTGGTGGGGCATCTTGGCTGTTTCCATAACTTGGCTATTGTGAATAGTGCTCAATAAACATGGGTGTATGCAGGTGGCTCTGGAGTAACCTGTGTCACATTTTTGGGTATATCCCCAAGAGTGGTATGCTGATCAAATGGTAGATCATGTTAGCTTTTTAAGTAGCCTCCAAATTTTTTTCCAGAGTGGTTGTACTAGTTTGCATTCCCCACCAGTGTAAGAGGGTTCCTTTTTCCCCCATCCTCGCCAACACCTGTTGTTAGTGGTGTTGCTAAGATGGCTTCTAACAGGGGTGAGGTGGAAATCTTAGTGTGGTTTAATTTGCATTTCCTTTATTGCTAGAGATGGTGAGCATTTTTCATGTGTTTTTTGGCCATTTGAATTTCTTCTTTGAGAAAGTTCTGTTTAGTTCACTTGCCCATTCTTTTTTGGTTCATTATTTTGGGAGAATTTAGTTTTTGAAGTTCCCTATATATTCTGGTTATCAGTCCTTTTCTGATGTGTAGTTGGCAAATATTTTTCTCCCACTCTGTGGTGTCTCTTCAGTTTAGAGACATTTTTTGATGAGAGAAGCTTTTTAGTTTTATGAAGTCCCTTTTATGCTATGCTCTTAGTTGCTGACTGCTGGGGTTCATTGAGAAAGTTTCTATACCTACTATTTCAGAGTATTTCCTACTTTTCTATCAACTTTAGAGTTTGGGGTCTGATATTAAGATCCTTGATCCATTTTGAGTTAATATTGGTATGGGTGATATACATGGATCTAGTTTCAGTTTTTTGCAGACTGCTAACCAGTTTTCCCAGCAGTTTTTGTTGAAGAGGCTGCTTTTCTCCATCGTATATTTTTAGTCTTTGTCAAAGAATAGTTGGTTATAGTTGTGTGGCTTCATATCTGGGTCCTCTATTCTGTTACTGGTCTTCATGTCTGTTTTTGTGCAGTACCATGCTGTTTTTATTGTTATTGCTTTGTAATATAGTTTGAAGTCAGGTATTGTGATACCTCCTGCATTGTTCTTTTGACTGAGTATTGCCTTGGCTATTCGTGGCCTCTTGTGTTTCCATATAAATTTAACGGTAGATTTTTCAATCTCTTTGAATGAATGTCATTGGAATTTTGATGGGAATTGCATTAAACATGTAGATTACTTTTGGGAGTATGACATTTTTACTATGTTGATTCTACATCCATGAGCATGGGAGATCTCTCCACTTTCTATAGTCTTCCTCAATCTCTTTCTTCAGAAGTTTAGTTTTCCTTGTAGAGGTCTTACATCTTTTGTTAGTTTTACACCTAGGTTTTGATTTTTTTTGAGGCTATTGTAAATGGAATTGTTTTCATACATATTTTTCAGTTTGCTCATTGAGTGTATAGAAATGCTAATGATTTTCTATGTTGATTTTATATCCTGCTACCTTGCTTATATTGATGATGTCTAGGATTCTGAGTAGAGTTTTTTGGGTCTTTAAGGTATAGGATCATGATGTTCTGCAAATAGGGATATTTTGACAGTTTCTTTACCTATTTGTATTCCTTTTATTCTTCTTGCCTAATTGCTCTGGCTAGGAATCCAGTACTATGTTGAATAGGAGTGGAGATAGTGGGCATCCTTGTCTTTCTGATTTTAGAGGGAATGGTTTCTTTTTTAGTAAGTATAATGCTGGCTGTAGGTTTGTTATATAGCTTTTATAATGTTGAGGTACTTTCCTTCTATTCCTAGTTTTCTTAGAGCTTTTTATCATGAAATGGTGTTGGATCTTATCAAAGGCTTTTTCTGCATCTATTGAGATGATCAAGTGGTTTTTGTCTTTGCTTTGTAATTGTTTATACGTTTATGTTGAAACACCCCTGCATTCCCTGGATGAAGCTCTTGGTCATGGTGAATAATCTTTTGATGTGTTGCTGAATTCGGTTTGCATTATTTTTTGAGGATTTTTGCATCAATGTTCATTAAGGAGATTGGCCTATAGTTCTCCTTTTTGGAGTGTCTTTGCTGGTTTTGGATAAGTGTAATACTGGCTTCATAAAAGTGGGTTAGGCAGTTTTCCTTCCTTTCTATTTCATGGAAGTTTAAGGAGGGTTGTATCAGTTCTTCTTTAAGGTTGATAGAATTCAGCAGAGAATCCATCAGGTCCTGGACTTTTCTTTTTGGGGAGCTCTTGATTGTGCTTCATTTTCATTTTGTGTTACAGATCTATTCAGGTGATTAATTTCTCTTGGTTCAGTTTTGGATGATCATATGTATCTAGAAATCTGTCCATTTCTTTAGATTTCAAATTTTATTTTGAATAGGTTCTCAAAGTAGTCTCTGATGATTTCTGACTTCATGGTGGTTTGTTGTTATCTCCCCTTTTGCATCCTGATTCTACTATTTGGGTTTTTTCTCTCTCATTAGTCAGGTTTCAGGGTCTATCGATCTTGTTTATTTTTCAAAGAACCAACTTTTTGTTTCATTTAATTCTTTGTATGGTTTTTTGGTCTTTTATTCATGTTTCAGCTCTTATTTTATTATTTCTCTCCTTCTATTTGTTTGGATTTGCTTGTTCTTGTTTTTCTAGGAGTTTGAGATGTATCATTAGGTCATTGATTTGGGATCTTTCAATCTTTTTAATATATCACTCATGGCTATAAACTTTCCTCAGACTGCCTTTGCTGTGTCCCATAGGTTCCGGTAGGTTGTGTTTTCATTTTCATTGACTTCAGGAACTTTTAATTTCTCTTTATTTTCATCATGATCCATTCTTCATTAAGTAATGAGTTATTTAGTTTCCAGCTGTTTGCATGTTTTTTGTCTTTACTTTGTTGTTGAGTTCTAGTTTTATTGCATTGTGATCAGATAGATGCAGGTATAATTTCTATTTTCTTATATTTGCTGAGGCTTGCTTTGTGCCTAGGATATGATGTATTTTGGAGAAGGTCCATGGGTGCTGAGAAGATGTATATTGTGTAGAAGTTGGATGAAATGGTTCTATAGACATCACTAGTCCTGATCTATTGTATTTTTAGATTTGGATTTCTTTATTGATTTTGTTTGGATGACTATCTATTGATGATAATGGGTGTTTAAAGTCCCCACAACACTGTGTTGGCGTTATATATGCTTTTTGGTCTTCAGGTATGTTTGATGAAATTGGGTGCGTGAATTGGGTGCATATAGGTTGATAATTTTATTTCTTTGGTCTGTGTCCCCTTTTATTAGTATCGGATGTTCCCTTTTATCTTCGTTTGAATCAATGTAGGTTTGAAGTCTACTTTGTCAGAGATAAGTATTGCTACTCCTGCTGTTTTCGGGGCCATTGGCTTGGTAAATCTTCTTCCAGCCTTTCATCTAAGCTATGCTATTTCTGTCGTGAAGATGGGTCTCTGTAGCAACAAATTGTTGGCTCTTCTTTTTAATCCATTTGTCGATGGTGTTTTTGATGGGAATCTTAGTTATTTGAGGGTTTGATTGTGTGTAGCTAAATCGATGTTGCTCTCTACTTTCTTGCTTTTTCTTTTCCTGTAGTTTGATACTGCTTGCCCTTTCATGGTTATGTTGGGTTTCACTTTCTGTGTGCAGAATCCCTTGAAGCATCTTTTGTAGTGTGGCTTGGTCATCATATATTGTTTTAGTTTCTGCTTATCATGACTTTTATTGCTCCATCTATTTTAAGACCTAGACCCCAACCCCAAGCTCTTCTTGCTTTTGATGTTTCTGTTGAGAAGTCTGCTGTGATTTTGATGGGCTTACCTTGTATGTTATTTGTTTTTTCTCTCTTCAGCCTTCAATATTCTTTCTTTAGTCTCTGTACTGGTTGTTTTAATGATAATATGCGTTGGTAGTTCTATTTTGGTCAGGTCTGTTTGGTGTTCTGGAGGCTTCCTGCACCTGTACAGGCATGGATTTCTCTAGATTTGGGAAATTTTCTGTTATTATTTTGTTGAATATATTATGCATTCCCTTTGCTTGCACCTCTTCTCCTTCTTCAATGCCCATGATTCTCAGGTTTAGTCTTTTGATGGAGTCAGTGAGTTCTTGCATTTTCTTTTCACAGGTTTGAGTTATTGAACTAATAGTTCTTTGGTTTTTCCTTTAATTACCATTTCATCTTCAAGTTCTGAGATTCTGTCTTCTGCTTGTTCTATTCTGTTGGATTGGTCTTCCATTTTGTTTTGCATTTCTGTTTCATTCTTTTTTCTGAGGTTTTCCATATCGTGAGTTGTTTCCTCTTTAATATTGTCTGTTTTCATTCTGAGTTCATTTATCTCTTTATTAATCGTGTTTTTTGTTTCACTTTGGTGTTTATACAGTGCTTCTATAAGTTTCTTTTATTTGTTCTTGTGCTTTCTCAAATTCTCTATTTTTGTTGTCTTGGAATTTCTTGAGTGTCTCCTGTACATTTTGGTTGACCATATCCAGTATCATCTCTATAATATTGTCATTGATTACTTGCAGGATTTCTTCTTTCAGGATGTTCTTGTGGGCTTCATTGGGTTCTTTGGCATAGTTTATCTTCATTTTGTTGGATGGATCTGCATATCTGTTTTCTTCATTTCCCTCTGGTTCCTGTACTAATTTATTATTTTGGGGTAAAGTGGTTTCCCTCTTTTTTCCGTCTTCCCTTTATTGCCCTTGCTATTGTTTCTGTCTCTGTACTGTGTGTAATTCAGTATTGTCTAGCTTGTAATAATAACAATGGTGATATCTAGAATGCAAGGGTAAGAGGAGAGTGAAAGCAAAGAAGGTAAAGAAAAAGTGAAAAAAATAACCAAAACAAACACACACACACACACAAAAACCAGAGCCAAAGAAATAAACAGGGAGAAATAGTGTACTAATCAATGGTGAGCTAAACAGGCATTAGAGGGACAGAGAGAGGATAATAAAACAGAAAAAAAAGAAAAAAATCCCCAAGTTCAACTGCAATAAAGTTTCAGTCTTAATAATTTTGGTGTTAGTCCTACAGCCTCAGGTCCTGTTGTTGGTGTCTGTGATGAAGTTCTGTCATTGTCTCACCAAAGGGGGAAAAATCAAAAAAAACAAAACAAAACAAAACAAATAAATCCCAAGTTCAAATGCAGTACAGTCTCAGTTAGTTCTTCAGTATCCAATCCTAGTTCTGTCTTTGTCTCATCAAAGGACGAGAGAAACAAAAAAAAGGAGTCTTGAGTCAGCTTTATGAATGTCTATATGAGACTGCAGCTCACCTGGCACCTACTGCCAGCCAGCTGCTGCTGCAGGCTTTATTTATGCAGATCTCAGGAATGAGCTTTATACTCACCTAGCCCTGCAGGCTTTGTTTGTTTAGCGTTCTCCTGGCCGCATGCCAGTATACAGCCCTACCCGCCTGTTGCAATTGCAGTCTTTTTTTTTTATTGTTATTAGAGTTCGAGTGGGGAGGTGTCCCTGTCTGACTCTCTGGTGGAGTGCTACAGTTTAGCCGCTGTTACAAGCCTTTCCCTCTCCAAGCACACTGGGGGAGGAGCTGCCGCTGCTGCCTTCTCCAGCTGGCTTATTTATTTACAGTTCAAATGGGGAGTGCCCTCCCCCACTCTCCAGAGCTCAGGGCGCTGCACCCTCTTTGCTATGTGTCTTTTTTATTTTATTTTACTTTTAGTCAGCTGCTTGTTTATTATGCAGTTTGGTTTTTTCTCTTTTTTCCCTGGCTGGGGGTCAGTCTGTCCAGGAGGCTATGCTTATTTACCGTGTGCTACTTAGCTTACCTGGTGGTCTGCATTTCCCAAGCGGCCTAGGAGGTGGCGTGTGGTGGCACTGTAGCCCTCCTGGTTTCTCTGTTTAATGTGGAGTGGGGATTCTCTGCACAGGCTGGGGGTGTGGAGGAGTCGGGGTTTTGCCTCTTCTTGGTGGTTTTTCCTGCCAGGCATATCTCCAGTGTGTCTCCAAGATTTTACTTTTGGCAGCACGCTTTCTGCTTCTTCCATCTAGTCGCCATCTTGGAAAATCCAATGCTACTGATTTTTAAGTCTCAAATGTTTCCCAGCCCCTTGTACAAAATTTTATATTTTCTCCTTCGTCTTTCTTCAAGTTGACATTTTTATATCTTATGATTATTTCAAAATGCTTTTAGATATATAATTATAGATATATATAGATATATATATGTAATAATACAGCAAAGATGTAAACCTGTCTTTTATTGTCTGCCTGTCAGATATTTATAGGAGGAAGCAATAGGAAGACCTAGAACTAAGAATTAATGATGTTAGAAACTCATTTCACAAATAGTGAAACAACAATTAATGACAAGGAAATCTAAGTCCAGGCAGTGATTTATCCATTTATTTATACATAGGTAAATAGATAAATATAGCCTTTTGTTCTGTCTTGTTTTTTAAGAAGAGGTCTTGTTGTGTTGCCCAGGCTGGTCTGAAACTCCCAGGTTCAAGCAGTCCTCCCACTATAGCCTCCCAAGTGCTAGGGAGCCACTGCACTGGCTGTATTTTAAGGATTCCATACATTTGGTCTATTTTGTCCCAGATAAGATTCATTGAATGCTTACTGGGAATGCCAAACAAAATATATCCCTCTTTTGTGTATATAGAGTTCGTTTTTATTATTCACAATAGTTATGATCCATAAAGTTACCACAAACACTAACTTAACAAATACAGAACCATTGCTCCTAAGAAAAATAGAGTTAGATTTTAAGCACCAAAATAACTATAACATAAAGCACAAAAATGTGAAGAAAAAATATAGTGCTATATAAATCACAAAAGGCAACTTGTTTATGTATTCTGAGAGCTGAAACAAAAAGGTAGTGTCGCCTTGTTCTCCAAATGGGATTGTGCATATCAGGTGACTGAAATGTTTTGCCTCTCAGAACATATCCACAAATGAGTATAAAAGTATCAAATTTTATTTGTACCTTAAAAATAAACTTCAGTAAATAGGTGAATTCACAAATGTGGAATCCATAAATAATAAGGATCAACTGTATTCTTTTTAAGGCATTCTGTCTCTGCCTGATTCTACGGTTTTGCTTTTCTTACAGACACAGGTAGGACGTTTTGCACCTCAGTTCTCTGGATATCAGCAGCAAGACTGTCAAGAACTATTAGCTTTTCTATTAGATGGGCTACATGAGGATTTGAATAGAATTAGGAAAAAACCATATATTCAATTAAAAGATGCTGATGGAAGGCCAGATAAGGTAAATTTTTTGATGTTATCACCACCATTGTTGTAATTCTTTGATACGTCTTCGTAATTTGTATCTGTTTTCCTTGTAGGTGGTTGCTGAAGAAGCTTGGGAAAATCATTTAAAAAGAAATGATTCTATCATAGTAGATATATTTCATGGCCTTTTCAAATCAACTTTAGTTTGTCCTGAATGTGCTAAGATTTCAGTAACATTTGATCCTTTTTGTTATTTGACACTTCCATTGCCCATGAAAAAAGAACGTACCTTGGAAGTTTATTTAGTTAGAATGGACCCACTTACTAAACCTATGCAGGTAAGTAATGGTTATTTTCTTTGCACTTGTTATTTTTATGTAAAAACTAGTGTTGAGTCTTTATCATAAAAAATTAATGCTGAATTCTCCACCACAATTCATCAATAATGTTTCTTTAAGAGATTTTTATCAGTTAAATACTTTGGAAATTAGTAAAACTTTTTAAAATCTTGAAAAATTAAAGGATGTTATAGAAACAATTTCTCATTAAAGAAAACAAATGTTATTTTGTTTTACAGTGTTGGTGTGAATATTAGCTTACAAAAATCACTAATATTGAACATTTTTGTGTGTAATTATAATTTTTTCTAGTTGCTTTTGGAAATAAAAGCTACATTTTAATTCAAAATGTGATAATAGTATATTCAAATACATTAAATGTTCAGGCATTTTAAGAAGATAGAAGAAAAATGAAAATTTAGTTTAAAAACACTTGGCTCAATAATGTTCTAATCTTTAATACTTTAAGTATCAGATATTCCATATTCTATGCAGAGTTCCTATGGTAGACGCTTATGTCAGCTGCCTGATTCCATTGCCTAATGTTATAATTGGACTATTTTACATTGTAGGAGCAAAACACTGTATTTTGTCCATTTTTTATTAATCATTTCTTTGATAATTGACATCTCCCACTGAAAGCAGCTCCTTCCTCTTCTACCTTCTGTTCCCCTAAATTCTGCTAATAGCATTTACCAAACTTTATTTTGATCTGTGGTTTACTTTTATCTTTTTTCCCTTAAACTATGAGTTCTTTAAGACATAGAACCTAAAAAAATCTTTGTATTTCCAATGCTGTGACTTATAAATATTAATGCAAGAGAAATGTCCAGAATTATATTCACTCAAATATTAATTGAGGCAAGACACCATTAGTAGAAAGATTGCATCTGAGGCTGGCCCCAGGCAAAAATACAATACCTTATCTGAAAGTAACAAAAGCAAAAGGGCTTGGGCTTGCCTAGCAAGCAAGAGACTGAGAGTTCAAAGCCCAAAGCCTAGTACCAACCTACTGAGTATAAAGCTTTGTTCACTAACAAGGTAGATATGGTTCCTACTTTAGATGATTGTTTTCTATAAATCCTTAGCTTAGGGTTCCAGCCAGGAAGTTGACTACACTTGAATGCAAGTGTAGACCTTTGAATTGAGGCTAGGAGAAATCATCTGTCCATGTGGACATTGTTACCCAGGATGACAGCAAGGAGGAAGACAAACATTGAACTGAATGCCAATTGAATATGAGGAACCAACTATACTTGCTCTCATTTAGTGTATGTTTTTCCCAAGGAAATAAGTTCATTATAATTTTTTTTGTTTTTTAGTACAAAGTGGTTGTCCCCAAAATTGGAAATATATTAGATCTTTGTACAGCATTGTCTACTTTGTCGGGAGTACCTTCAGATAAGGTATGATGTTTCTACAGTTGAAATACATAAGTTGATGTTTAGTTTCTTAGTTGTTGTAAAACCATCTTAATAGAAATTTTTTTCCTTTTAGATGATAGTTACTGATATATACAATCATAGATTTCACAGAATATTCGCCATGGATGAAAATCTTAGTAGTATTATGGAACGGGATGATATTTATGTGTAAGTATAAAAATTATTGTGAAAAATATTACTTGTGAGAAAAATCAAAGGAAATAACAAAATGTTGAGAGTTGATACTCAGTTTTGTCCTTGTAGATTTGAAATTAACATCAATAGGACAGAAGATACAGAACATGTGATTATTCCTGTTTGCCTAAGAGAAAAATTTAGACACTCAAGTTATACTCACCATACTGGTTCTTCACTTTTTGGTCAGCCTTTTCTTATGGCTGTACCACGAAACAATACCGAAGATAAGCTCTACAATCTCCTGCTTTTGAGAATGTGGTAAGTGCTGGACAACTCCGTATCAACAAAATAAATATGGAAATAAAATATAAAAGTTAATAAAAGTAAACATTGCAGGTACTACCAGAATGTAATTAAATAAGTCTGTGTTTTCTCAACTTTGTTTACAGGTGACAATGTTAAAAATCAGATTACAGTCTAATCCATATTTTTTTGTTGTTTTGTTTTTGGTGGTACTGGAGTTTGTACTCAAGGCCTCATACTTGCTTAGGCAGGTGCTTTATCATGCCCCCAGCCCTAATCCACTTTGGTAATTATGTAAAATAATTGAGGTAATTTCAAACTCAGGAAACATGAAATCTTTTTTGTTTTGTTTAGTTTTGTTTTTATAGTACTGGGGTTTGAACTCAGGGTCTTTACCTTGAGCCACTCTACCAGCCCAATTTTTTGTGATAGGGCTTTTCAAGATAAGGTCTCTTGAACTATTTGCTCAGGCTGGCTTCAAACTATAATCCTACTGATCTGTGTCTCCTGAGCAGCTAGGATTACAGACATGAGCCACCAGCACCTGGCAATGAAATCTTAACTGTACACCAACAGTTTAAAGTTGAAAGGAAATAGGAATTTATAACCCTAATGTATGTATAAACTCTGAAATGTTAAAAATGTTAAGTGTTCTTTTTCTTTATATACACTATTAATTCAAGAACTCATACTAATAGTCTTATTTAAAGGATAAACTTTAATGACTTGATAGCCCACTTTTTGCCTTCCTGAAAACCTTGACTTTAATTACAAGGTAATCACAAATTCCATTTAACCTCCTTTTGTAACCCTTTATAGCTGACATATTTAGTAGTATTTTTTATATACCTAGTTATTATAGTTTCATTACCCATGCATAAAGACATGATAGTGCTGAGCACAGTGGCTCACCTCTGTAATTTCAGCTACTCAGGAGGATCTCAGTTTGAGGCCAGTGTAGGCAAAAAGTTAGCAAGACCCCATCTCATTAAAAAGCTGGGCATGATGGTATTTGCCTGTCATCCCAGATAAATGGAAGGCCTAAGTAGGAGGTTCACAGTGCAGGCCAGCCAGGCAAAAAACACAAGACTCTACCTGAAAAATAATTACAGCAAAAATGACAACAGGCCATGACTGAAGTAGTAGAGCACCTGCGTAGTAAGCATGAGGCCCTGAGTTCAAATCCCACTACTGCCAAAAAATAAATTAAATCATGTTGTAAAAATATGTGTTACTAACAATAATGATCTCTTTATATAATACTTTTTTAAGTTGAGACAGTATTTGCCACACATTTTAGCATATAAAATAAAGAAGTAAAACCATAGAAGTAACTTAATTAATTCTCTTTATAAAGATAACCAAAATACAAATTACTAGTCATTTGAATTATGGTACTGTATCTTGAGTCTAAATTTTATTTTCCAATCTGCTAAAATGACCACTCTTTGCATTAAAAAAAGTTTTAATTTATTAATAGAATAAAAAGTTTTTAAATGTTGAAGTCTTTGTATAACTGAACTTAATTTGATATATGATTTTATTTAAGCCGGTATGTCAAAATATCTACTGATACTGAAGAAACTGAAGGATCCCTACATTGCTGTAAGGACCAAAATATTAATGGGAATGGCCCAAACGGGATACATGAAGAAGGCTCACCAAGTAAGACTTTCCTGTTAAACTGTAAAAATTCCTCACTTGGATTATTAAAGTTAATACAGAGCTTAAGAAATGAAAAAATACCTACAAACCTAGAAAAGTCATTTAAAATTTTAATAGTGGATGTATTTAAAGATCTCTAATATGTTAATTAAATTAGGTGAAATGGAAACAGATGAACCAGATGATGAATCCAGCCAGGATCAAGAACTTCCCTCAGAGAATGAAAACAGTCAGTCTGAAGATTCAGTAGGAGGAGATAATGATTCTGAAAATGGATTATGTACTGAAGAAACTTGCAAAGGTCAACTCACAGGACACAAAAAGCGATTGTTTACATTCCAGTTCAATAACTTAGGCAATACTGATATCAATTACATCAAAGATGACATCAGGCATATAAGATTTGATGATAGGCAACTTAGGCTAGATGGTAAGTATTTGTGAAAAATAGCTTGAACATTAAACTTAAGCAGAGTAGGTTTTGGGTTTTGGGGGCTAAAAACCATGAAGTTCAGCCTTGTCTTTAAAAATGCCATTTACTTATCTAAGAGTTTAAATAAAAGGCCTTAATATATTAGTAGACTAAATCATGTCAATGTTTATTAAAGTGAGGTTGAATTTATAGTTATTTTCTGTATTTTTTTTTTTTCTCTTAAGTCCCATATTGTTTCAATGGCTTGGAAACAGCTGTTTGCCCTAATCACCTAGTGCAAGTAGAAAGCTTGTCGTTTTTTTCTGGTGTATTGCCGTACCTTAAAGTACATTGACTTTTAATACTAAAAGGCATATTATATTTTAATGAAAAAATGTGCTTTCCACTTTAGAAAGATCTTTTCTTGCTTTGGATTGGGATCCTGATTTGAAAAAAAGATATTTTGATGAAAATGCTGCTGAGGTAAGTCATCAGTTCACTATTTCTTTAGCTTTTCTTGATTTGCTTGCTTTTGATTACTAGTGTTATTCAGACTCTTTTTGTTAAACTCTTTTGCTTCTACTAAATGTTTATTTTGTCAGTAAAAAGATTTGTTCATGAACCATTTTATTTTTTAAGATAGAGAGTTGGTTTTGAAGATGGTTTCTACTTAACATGTTTTAGTCATCAGTATAGGTTTATTCAGGAGTTAAGAGGTGTGATATAAAAATAAGCTTTATGATTCTTTTGAAAAAGTTCAGGAGTTTTCATTATTCATAGTAAGATGGTGTCACTAAAATGAGTTTTGTTTCATTTGTTCTCTTAACTCAAGAAATACTTCTTTTTAGGATTTTGAAAAACATGAAAGCGTGGAATATAAACCTCCTAAAAAGCCCTTCGTGAAGTTAAAAGATTGCATTGAGCTTTTTACAACAAAAGAAAAACTAGGTGCTGAAGATCCCTGGTAAGAGACAAAGTTAATTAATTGTTTCTAGTTTTTTTCTTTTAAGGATTTATTCTGAGGTATGTGCTATATCTAGTTGAAAAATGAATACCAAATTATCTTGGATATTTTCAGTAATAAGCATTTCTGTAATAAGTTACAGTCCATTTAGAGGTATATGAATATCTTTAAAAGTATTATTACAGTGTTAAGCTTTAGTATCATTACTATATTTTCCCTTATAGCCATTTTAATATTAATAATTACTTTTAAGCTGAGTGTTTTTAGTGTGCAGCCATTTTGAGGGAAGCTTTTTAGGAAAACTATGGTAAAGTATTTTGTGGTGTCATTTCATTAGAGCCTAGAAGTTTTGAGATTTTTTAATACCTATATCTCAGCACACATTTGTGATATATCCATGTCCTTTTTATTATGCTAAAGTATAAATAATCTAGCCCTCATCACTTTTCTTTGAATATTTATTTATAGATCAATTTATAATGGTTAAACTTATTTGAAAATGTTTTTAAGATAAAAATAAAAAGAATTGCTTTCAGCCTGGCACATATAGGCATACAATGATTACTCCCTGAACAAATGTAGATCTGTCTAAACATTTTTTTCTTCTGTTACTTCATTAAGGGGGATTGTTAATTTGTTTGACCTCTGTCAAGCTTTAAATATATATTTTTTTTCTTCTTAGGTATTGTCCAAATTGTAAAGAACATCAGCAAGCCACAAAGAAATTGGATTTATGGTCCCTGCCTCCAGTACTTGTGGTACATCTCAAGCGATTTTCTTACAGTCGATATATGAGAGACAAGTTAGATACTTTAGTTGGTTTTCCTATCAAGTAAGTTTAAATTGCACTTTATAAACATTTGTCATTCTGATTTTTTTTCAAACTTATAGATGCTATTAGTAAACATCAGGTACCATTGGATCTAATTTCAGTTTTGAGCTTATCTTTTGAGTAGTTCTAACAATTTGTAAGGATTTGCATCTCACAGTTTTTATCCTTTCTTAGAGATTTTCCAAAGATCAAAGAGGAAATATACTTTAAAAAAAGAAAAAAAAAAAAGATGCAGTGTAACTCACTCGGGGTTACATGATGAGTTTGTACTTGAGTTAGTGGTTCTATTTTTCTGAGTAGAATTATTTCATTATTACTCATCAAGTATTCCTAAATATCTTAGTCTTTCCCAAAATGACTAAAAAAAATATGAAAGCAGACTATAATGAATTGCTTAGAAGGAAGACATAGTAGTAAAATAAACCAGCCCTGTTTGCATTATCCTTTAAGTTTTCTAACTGCATGGTATGATGATATCTTTGTACTGTATTTTTGTTTGTTTCTAGCTTTCACCAAACAAAACTTAGGTTCAGAAGGACAAAATACATGACTGTATTATTATTCATTTAGTTATTCAACAGGAACGTTTTCATCATACAATATTTTACAAGAACTTGATTCTATCCCATTTTATAAAAGAGAGCATGTGGCCATATTTCATATTTTATGATATTTGTGAACCAATATTTAACTTGAAACAAGTAGACAAATGCTAAAGGCAGGTTTGTCTACAAAGATGATTGAAGAATGTAGATTATATAAAATTGAAAATACTTGTTGGATTGTCCATTCTAATTGGTATTTATAAGTTTTAAATTGAACGTGTTTGACAGTTATTGAGCAGAAACAGTATCATAGCTGGGTGTGTGGTGCACTTTTAGAACCCCAACACTTGAGACACTGAGGCAGTAGGATCACAAGGTGGAGGCAAGACCTTGTTACAAAAAAGGGGGGCGTGGGAGAGAAAATGCTGATAGTCTCTTTAACAAAATTTTGAACCAGAAAGTTTTCAAGAATATAGAATTTTGAGAATGTCAGTGCAAGAAACCTACTCTACTTGAGGAATATTTGAAATTTAGAATCATTGCTTTTTAATGATGCAACTATAAGAACAATGACCAGAAATAATGATAAGGTATTTACAAGATGGCTATGTTCCAGGTTCATGCACAACAGATTATAAACAATCAAAGGATGTTGCCCATTTCTGGTATACAGGTCATCAAAACTAGGAAAATGTAAAATAAAAATACTTATGTATAGAACGTATATGTTATAGAAATATATTCTTATATTAAATTTATTATTTATATATATAAATTATTTAAATAAGGGTTTAGCTTTTTCTTTGGTGTCCAGTGGATTTTGAACTCAGGGCTTCACACTTGCAAAGCAGACTCTTTACCACTTGAGCCACACCTCCAGTCCGTTCTGCTATTCTCTTTGCTCAGGCTGGCCTTGAATCATGACCATACTAGTCTTGGCCTTCCCAAGTAGCTAGAATTGCAGAATAAACCACGAGCACCCAGATTATATTTAACTCTTAAAAATTCCTACAAAGGTTATTTTTGCTATCTTTATTTTTCCTTCCATAAATCATTCCTAAAAATAACTTAAAAATAAAAAAGGATCCATTGGATCTGGATAATAAATGTTATTAACTGATTTTCCTGGTATACTGAGAGTTAAATGTATTAACATGAAAACATTATTCTTAATATCATCCACTGGAACATTTTAAAATTCTCAACCCCTAAGCAAATTATCTCTGTAGATATCTACATATATATACATACACATACATATATACATACACACACGAGAGTCAAGCAACACCAGCAGAAGGGAATATAATTTATAGCATTTAAGAGAAAAAGAATTATTTGCATTTAGGGAAAGCATAAAACTAACTTGATTTCTTTTTTTAAACAGTGACTTGGATATGTCAGAATTCCTCATTAATCCAAATGCAGGTCCTTGCCGCTATAATTTGATTGCTGTTTCCAACCATTATGGAGGAATGGGAGGAGGACATTGTAAGTTGATAGTTTGCCTTTTAACCCAAATCATGATGTTTAACTAACTCTAGTGTTTTTTTTTTCCTTACAATATTTATTACTTTTTAAGGTAAAAATACAGGTGTATTTTTCACTATAATAGTTGTTCAGTATTGATTTATGAATGAATCAGCTTTGGAACCTAATTTTTTTTACATCAGGTATAAAGAGACTTTGAGTTAGTCATAGCTCCTTCTCTTCCCTTTCTAACATATTTGATGCACGCGCTCTTATAAACTATGCATATTTATTCACTTACATAATTGGTGCTGTGCTATAGATTTCAGTAGCTGTTTTTTCTCTTGATGCTGCAGATTGATCCATGTTACTTTGTGTCTGTTTAATTCATTGCTTCTCACCACTCATGGTTTATATCTACTGTATTTTATCTCTGCACTCACCTTATGATAGATAATCAAATTGCCTTTCACTTTCTTTTATATATATATATATTATATGTATATATCTTTTTTTATTGTTTATTCATATGTGTATACATTATTTGGGGCACCTCTCCCCTGTGCCAACCACCTGCTCCTACCCCAAACCCCTCGCATCCAGGCTGAACATATTATGCTCTCTTCTCCAGTTTTTTTAAAGAGAAAACATAAGAGATAGTAAGAAAGACCTAGCATTTTTTGCTAGCGTGAGATAAAGATAGCTATACAGAGAGATTCCTAGCACTGCTTCCATGCACATGAGTATTACAACCCACGTTGGTTCATCTCTATCAGAGCTCTTCACTACTTCCCAGTCACCTTCCCATAGTGACCTCTGTCAGTTTAAGATTAACTTATTTGCACCTCTACAGTGGATACATCAAACACTTTCAAGCTTTAGGTTTCCTTCTCTTTCCCTATTCCTCCTGTATGCATTCTCCCCCTAGCATGTGACCCATATCCAATAATATTACTGCATTTTTTTTAGGTCTATAATCCACATCTGAAGGAGAACATATGATTTTTGGCCTTCTGAGCCTGGTTAATTTCGCTTAAGACGATATTCTCCAGTTTTCATCCATCTTCTTTGTGGCTGAGTAAAATTCCATTGTGTATAAATACATTTTCTTAATCCATTCATCCGTAGTGGGGTATCATGGCTGTTTCCATAACTTGGCTGTTATGAATAGTGCTACAATAAACATGGGTATGCAGTTGCCTTTGGAATAACCTGAGTAACATTCCTTTGGATATATCCCTAGGATAGTATTGCTGGATCATATGGCAGGTCTATGTTTAGTTTTTAAGAAGCTTCCATATTGCTTTCCAAAGTGGTTGTACCAGTTTACATTCCCACCAGCAGTGTATGAGGGTTCCTTTTTCCCCTCATCCTTGCCAACATTTGTTGGTGGTGTCTTTGAGAATAGCTGTTCTAACAGGAGTGAGGTAGAGTCTTAGTGTGGTTTTGATTTGCATTTCCTTTATGGCCAGGGATGGTGAGAATTTTTTCATGTGTTTTTTGGCCATTTGGATTTCTTCCTTTGAAAAAGTTCTGTTTAGTTCAGTTGCCCACTTCTTTATTCGTTCATTGATTTTGCGGGAGTTTAGGTTTTTGAGCTCCCTGTATATTCTTGTTATCAGTCCTTTGATGTATAACCAGCAAATATTTTCTCCCATTCTGTAGGTGATCTCTTCAGTTTAGAGACTATTTCTTTTGTGTGCAGAAGCTTTTTAATTTCATGTAGTTCCATTTGTCTATCCTTTCTCTTAGTTTCTGGGCTACTGGAGTTCTATTGAGGAAGTCCTTGCCTAGACCTATTGCTTCCAGAGTATTCCCTGCTCTTACCTGTACTAACTTCAGAGTTTCAGGTCTGATACTAAGGTCCTTGATCGACTTTGAGTTGATCCTAGTACAGGGTGATAGGCACAGATCTGGTTTCAGTTTTCTGCAGGCAGATAACCACTTTTCCCAGCATTTGCTGAAGAGGCTTATTCTCTATTGTATGTTTTTGGCAACTTTGTCAAAAATAAGGTGGGCAGAGTTGTATGGATTCATATCTGGGTCTTCTGTACTGTTCCACTGGTCTTCATGTCTGTTTTTGTGCCAGTACCATGCTATTTTTATTGCTATAGCTCTGTAATATCGTTGAAGGTCAGGTATTGTGATAACTCCAGCATTGCTCTTTTTGCTGAGTATTGCTTTGGTTATTCGTGGTCTCCTGTGTTTCCAAATAAACTTTAGGGTAGATTTTTCAATCTCTGTGTTAATGTCATTGGGATCTTGATGGGAATTGCACTGAACATGTAGATTGCTTTTGGTAGTATAGCTGTTTTTACTATGTTGATTCTACCAATCCATGAGCATGGGAGATCTCTCTACCTTCTGTAGTCTTCCTCAACCTCTTTCTTCAGAGGTTTGTAGTTCTCCTTATAGAGGTCATTCACATCTTTTGTTAAGTTTACTCCTAAGTATTTGATTTTTTTTTTGAGGCTATTGTAAATGAAAGTATTTCCATATATTTCTCAATTTGTTCATTGTTGATATATAGAAAAGCTAATGATCTTTGTAAGTTGATTTTGTATCCTGCCACCTTGCTGAAGCTGTTTATGGTGTCTAGGAATTTTGTTCTAGAGTTTTTGGTCTTTGATGTATAGGATCATTTTGTCTGCAAATAGGGACATTTTGACAGTTTCTTTACCTATTTGTATTCCTATTATTACTTGCCTTATTGTTCTGGCTAGTAATTACAGGACTACGTTGAATTGGAGTGGGGAGAGTGGGCACCCTTGTCTCGTTCCTGATTTTAGGGGAAGTGGTTTTAGTTTTCTCCACTAAGTATGATGTTGGCAATAGGTTTGTCACATATAGCCTTTATAATGTTGAGGTACATTCCTTCTATTCCTAGTTTTCTTAAAGCTTTTATCATGAAGTGGTGTTGAATCTTATCAAAGGCTTTTTCTGCATCTATTGAGATGATCAAGTGGTTTTTGTCTTTGCTTCTATTAATGTGCTGTATTACATTTATTGATTTGCATATGTTGAACCACCCCTGCATCCCTGGGATGAAGCTGACTTGGTCATGGTGAATGATCTTTCTGATATGTTGTTGGATTCAGTTTGCCATTATTTTATTGAGGATTTTTGCCTTGATATTCACCAAGGAGATGGGCCTGTAGTTCTCCTTTTTGGATGTGTCTTTGTCTGATTTGGGGATGAGGGTAATACTGGCCTCACAGAATGAGTTAGGCAATGTTCCTTCTCTTTCTCTTCCATGGATAAGTTTAAGGAGAGTTGGTATTAGCTCTTCTTTAAACGTCTGATAGAATTCAGCAGAGAATCCATCAGGTCCTGGACTTTTCTTTTTTGGGAAACTCTTTATTGCTGCTTCAGTTTCATTTCATGTTATAGATCTGTTTAGGTGGTTAATATCCTCTTGGTTCAGTTTTGGATACTCATAATTATTTAGAAATTTGTCCATTTCTTCAAGATTTTCCAATTTACTAGAATATAGGTTCTCAAAGTAGTCTCTGATGATTCCCTGGATTTCCTTGGTGTTTGTTGTTATCTCCCCTTTTGCATTTCTAATTTTACTAATTTGGGTGTTTTCCCTCCTCATTTTAGTCAGATTTGCCATGGGTTTGTCTATCTTGCTTATTTTTTCAAAGAGCCACCTTTTCGTTTCATTGATTCTTTGTATGGGTTTTTTTGTTGTTTTTTTTTTTTTTTTGGTCTCTGTTTCATTAATTTTGGCCCTTATTTTTATTATTTCTCTCCTGTTTGATTTCGGTTTTGCTTGTTTTTGTTTCTCTAGGAATTTGAGATGTAGCATTAGGTCATTTATCTGAGATCTTTCTTTCCTTTTAATATATGCACTCATAGATATAAACTTTCCTCTTAGGACTGTTTTTGCTGTTTGCCATAGGTTCTGGCAAGTTATGTTTTCATTTTCATTAACTTCCAGGAACCTTTTAATTTCCTCTTTTATTTCATCTATGACCCACTGATCATTGAGCAATGTATTATTCAGCTTCCAGCCATTTGCATATTTTCTGCTGTTTTTTTGGTTGTTGAGTTTGTGATCAGATAGAATGCACAGGATTATTTCTGTTTTCTTATATTTGCTGAGGCTTGCTTTGTGCCCTAGATATGATCAATTTTGGAGAAAGTTCCATGGGCTGCTGAGAAGAATGTATATTGTGCAGAAGTTGGATGAAATATTCTGTAGACATTAGCTAGGTCCATTTGATCTGTAGTATGATTTAGTTCTAAAATTTCTATATTGATTTTTTGTTTGGATGACCTGTCTGTTGGTGATGGGGGGTATTAAAAGTCTCCCACTACCACTGTGTTGGAGTCTATATATGCTTTTAGGTCTTTCTGAGTATGTTTGATGAAATTGGGTGCATGGACGTTGGGTGCATATAGGTAGATAATTGTTATTTCTTTTCGATGTATTTCCCCTTTTATTAGTATGTGGTGTCCTTCTCTATCTCATTTGATCAATGTAAGTTTGAAGTCTGCTTTGTCCGAGATAAGTATTGCTACTCCTGTCTGTTTTTGGGGGCCATTGGTTTGGTAAATCTTCTTCCAGCCTTTCACCCTAAGCCAGTGCTTGTTTCTGTCAATGAGATGGGTCTCCTATAAAACAACAGATTGTTGGATCTTCCTTTCTAATTCAGTTTGTCACATGGTGTCTTTTGATAGGGAAGTTGAGTCTGTTGACATTCAGTGTTAATATTGACAGGAATGTGGTGATTCCTACCATTTAGTTGTTTTTGTTATTTAAGGGCTTGATTGTGTGCAGCTGAATCAGTGCTACTCTCTGATCCCTTGTCTTTTTTTGTCTGTGGTTTGATACTACCTGTGCTCTCGTAGTTTTGTTTGGTTTCATCTTCTGTGTACAGAATTCCTTGGAGAATCTTTTGTAGTGGTGGCTTGGTGGTCATATGCTGTTTTAGTTTCTGCTTATTTTGGAAGATTTTTATTCCTCCATCTATTTTGAATGATAGTTTTACTGAGTAGACTATCCTAGGGTTAAA